TGAGGCAAGTTGTCATAAAGAACAAAAAAAATATAAAATCAAAATAACTTTATCTTAATTTTTTATTTCGAGTGGAAAATGTTTCATTGTAAAATTGCACGCTTTTATTAACAACACCTGTACGTATACGTGTTAATGATTTAACGATATTGCAAATATTAAGTATACGCCTAAATTATAGAAGTATCTATGTTAAATTCAAATTACTTGTGGAAGAGCTGAGGAAGCTCTGAATACGGCCTTGAGCTGGGCTCAATCGAGAGGCCTCAATGTTAAACCAGCAAAGACGTAAATCTGTCTTTTCATAAGAAAGACAAAAATGCCTATGTATGTATACTGAACCTTGCTCCCTGGACAAGAAGATACCGGTGACAGACAAAGTTAAGTACTTAGGTGTAATCCTTGAGCGGAAATTAAAATGGTGACACCACATAGAGGATAGGATCAACAAGGCACATCGGTGCTGGGTGATATGTAGGAGAACTATAGGCATGAAATGGGGTCTTAGTCCTACTATGACAAATTGGCTTTATAAAAGTGTAATTAGACCAATTCTAGCTTATGCTTCAATAATCTGATGGACTGCTTTGGACAAAAAACGTAATATCAAAATACTACAGGGAGTTCAACGTACATGCTGCTTGGGTATAAGTGGTGCCATATGTAGTACCTCAACCAAAGATCTGAAAACGTTGCTAGATATACCACCCATTGAAACATATTTAAGATATGAGGCGGCTTTTTCAGGCGAACTGGCCAAAAGCGGTTATAGAACACGTCATCAATGTATTGGAAGGTTATACACAATCATCGGATGTGCCCGATCGAATACCAGATGCAGAATATGTCGGAAATGTATTGCTCAAGCGGAACATTAGAACAAATACCAGTAGGAATCCGTTGTTACTCCAAATTGGGGGTCAAAATGGGCCTGATGTTCTATATTGAATACCCAGAAATAGAAATATGCCACCGTTTACCTAATCATAACACAAACTTCCAGGCAGAAGTCCGAGCAATAACGGAATGTGTAAATTGGATTAGAATAAATATAGCGCCCACAGCCGACAGCCGGAAGGCAATTAGGGCGATATCAGGTGATAGAGTTAAATCTAAGTCCGTATTGGGTTGTAAGAAAGCTTTAACTGAATACTCTCTCAGAGGTAAGGTTTACATCATATGGGTACCAGTCCACTCGGGAGTAGTCGGCAACGAAATGGCTAATGTAATAGCTTTAAAGGGAAGGGAGCTCGAGGTAGTTAACCTGACAAACGCAAAACCATTCGACGCAACTAAAGCTGAATTAAAAATATGGGTGAGAGAATACTTTAAGGCCTCTTAGAATAATGAAACGATGGGTAAAACCACAAAGGTACTTTGGGGTGACCCTGATGAGAGCAAGACTTAAAATCTCCTCAAAATGAGCAAGTCTGAAGTTAGTATGATGGTACGTATTCTAAGTAGACGTACAGGATTACGAGCACATCTATACAAAATTGGACGTGCGGATTCAGACGAATGTAGAGCATGTGGAGAGGACAGTGAAACTCTGGAGCACTTTCTTTGCCACTGTCGAAGTTTGATCCAAGTATTTTGGAAGTGATAAAAATTCTTAGGAATTACGTCCAGGAAACTAAGTTTCTGAACATTGAAAAATAATACATTCATGAAGTATTTTTTTCATGAAAGGAGCGCACAACAGGCCCGATTGTGGCCTAGGTGTATTTATTCGGATTTGTTACATCCTCCTATCAACCTAACCTAACCATGTAAAATTCATTGTTCTACTAATACTTAATTAGAAAGATAAAATAATACCAATTAAATGCTTACTTTAGAAATCAGTTTGAATATTTCAGTTAAATATATTTATATAAGGAGTTAATTAACTACTTAAACATATGCATTGTTTAATACATATGCATTCACTTGTACGTATAAGTAATTGACAATTAAATAATAATAATACGCTACAAAGGCATACATGTGTTTTTTATTTTTAAAAGACCACTAAAACTGTATGTGTTTTTTCTTTCGCCAATTCCAACTAAAATATTAAGCAATTATAATGAAACTAATTAGAAAGCAAAAAGTAAGCTTAATTTTATCATTAAAATACTCATTAAAAAGAACTAAAATTACATCCGCTACAAAAGTGAATGTGCAGTTGTTGCAAAAGTAGCGGAAGGCAAAAGAACCCAACGGAAAAGGAAATATAAAATGAATTTCAACACACAAACACATACGTATACTTAAATAAATGTTACTATATTGTGGTATCATACTTAAGCTGCTTAAATGCTAAACAACAAAAGCAGACCTAAAATGACAACTAAATTGTACAACATTATTATTCAAACACACAAACACTGTGTTTTGTGAAAAAGAGAAAATTCAAAAAATAAAAACTCCAACTAAAACGAAAAATAAACAAACAAATAAATAAACATCCTTTTACTTATGTATTTAGTTGGAAAAGGAACCACAAGTACTGAGAGGAAAAAACAGCAACAACTACAACTACAAACACTGACTATAAGCAGATAATTACACAAAAACAACATACCGCAGACAGACTGTGATGATGATTCCGCTTCACTCCTGACATTTGGGCCATCAGGACGATGATAATGTTGATAAAGTTGATGGGACACCATGTTAGGCCAACCACTGAGAAGAAAATTAGAAAATAAAAACGAAGTGATACAAGAAAAAAATCACAAGCGGAAAATTAACAAATATCATTGACAAAAAGTAATAACAACAAGGATGAAAATCATAATGAATAGAAAAATTGTCTAAGTATGTATTTCAAATGACCAAAAAAAGGGTCGATATAATAATGACCAAATTATCATAAAAATGCCACAAAAAATGGTGCTTCTTTGAAAGAAAAATGTTTGAAGAACCCTACGGCGTTTATTGAAATTAATATGGAAAATTCATTGTACTGTTCCCATTTGTATTTCGTGTAATAAAAAATATTTTTTTTAGTTTCGCTAGGGTTTTAATTTCTCAAGGTGGGTTTTCATTTTTCAAATTTAACAAAATAGATTTGAGAATTTATATCGAAAATATTTTGGTAATTAATCAATGATTTTAATAATTTTTTTAATAATGCAAGTAATACAAGCAATTGTAAAGTAGGCATTCTTGTACAATATGTCTGAATATTTTTCTCCGTATTTCGCATTGAATATTGTAATGTACACGTACAAAATCTTGAAATAAGATTGGATTTTTATATATTTAGAATTGGACAAAATAATATACCTTTAAGAAATACAAATGATATCCAAATGACCAAAACTAAATCCAGGAAACCAGGAGTATATATAAATACAATATCAAGCAATGCTCTGTTTTGAAGTAAAAGTCCATTACTTTGATTTCCGGTGCATGAAAGATAAGAAAAGGACGATGGGAGCCATTGATTCGCTAGCTAGGAGTCGGGTGGGGGAGTTCGTGTCCTATTCCTTAAAATTCAATGTTTATTACATGCTCTTATTTTAGACTCCCGGAAAAAACTATATTTAACATGTCGTTGTATTGAAAAAAAAGAAAATAACTAGATTTATAAAACAAAAGAAAAGAAAAGCCCCTAATCTAGTTATAGGTGGAAATCTACATAAAAACATAGTTGATGTTTTCTTCCTTTTGCCAAATTTTATGCAATCCAGATGTTAGTGGATGCAAATGCCTCGATACCCTCACCAACCTTCGTTCTAATGGCATATATATGTAAATTTCTAGAACCCCTAAGTTAAATTTTATCTTAAAGCTCTCACATTCTCACAATAAGAAGACCAAGTTATTTAAATTTTAAGCAAACATATTCAAACTATTTATTTTAGTAACTTTTAAATTAAACTTAATTACATTATTCATTTCTTTTAATATTTAACTTTAAATTTCAACAAACTTTCATTTACACCATTCTTTTAAATGTTAACATTATTTATATTAATATTCAATAAACATAGCTTTATATTATAAATTTTATAAATTTAAAAAACAAATTAACAATTTTAACAAAAGTAGGAAATGTGTAACAATGTTATCTAACTAGCAATAAAAATGTTAACGAATTAAAATTTAATGTTTTCGATAAAACAATAAATTTAATATTATATAGAGTTAAAGATTAAATAGAAAAATAACCAAATTTATATAGTTAAAATCCAAACAAAAGTAGATTATTTTCTTAGTTTCGACCCATTGTGCAATTTTTTATAAACGAAAATAAACAAAGAAACATAACAAAAAGATATTAAAGTTCATTGAACTTCGGTTGTAACAGCTGATCAACTTACACAGGTTTGTGTGTATGTTCAAAATGAGTTGTAAACAAATATAGGTCAGGATATGTTTGACCAAAGAGAGTCTAGGTTGTAAATGAACGAAATTAGGTTACAACATGTTTGAGTTGGAACGCGTTCGATTGATCTTTAATATTAATTTGTTTTGTTTGTTTGTTTCTTTATAAAATAAGTATGCAAGAAAATAAACAAAAGGAATTGAAATGTATTAATTTCACTCACCAATCGTACATTCTGCAGAAGGCCTTCTCCAGGAACGGTGTGCTAGATGTAATTTTTGGAAAATATATTAAATTTATGTTTTGTAATTTTCTTGCATGGGATTTGGTGGTTTTCTGGTTGTTTTGTTTTAAATATTCATATTATAATTGCTCAATTGTTTATGTTTTTAATTTAAGATTTGTGTTATTAGTTTGTTTGATATTTAGGGTATTTTAATATAAAATTTTAAACATTTTACAATTTAAATATTTCAAAGATTACTTTTAAATTTTATAATCATTTAGCAAATTCTTTAAATTTTAAATTTTGATTAACTTTTGTAACCATTTAAATATTTTAATTTGAAAAAAGTTTATTTTAAATTTCAAACTTTTAAACATTTCTTTTAACAAAATGTTAAAATTTTTTAAACATATTTATTCAAATTTGCATGGTCTTAACTTTTTAAGATAATTAATTTGTGTGATACTAGTTGTTTAGTTTAAATTTAGGTAATTTAATTTATTATTAATTTGAAATTTTAATTTGAACGGTCGTATAGTTTGCTAGTGCGACTAATACACATTATAGGGTACATATATTTTGTTCTTTTCTTTGGTTTCTCTTGGGTATTAAAACTTTCAATTCATTATAGCTTTAGCAAAGATGTTTAACACACAGTTTGTTAAAATTTTGTTTAAACTTTATTTGAAATTTTAAATCTGTGATATGTATTAGTTATTAAGCTTTCAACTTATTAATCATTTAAATTTTTCTTTTCACATATTTTAATCATTTAACAGTTTTCATAAGCTTTAATGTGATATTAGTTTAAGCATTGATTTTTAACTTTAAAATCATTTTATGAACTATCTGTGATATTAGATTTAGGTTTTAGAAAATTAATTTTAGTATTTAGTAAATATTTTTATAAATTGTGTATGGTTTTCACTAAGGCGACGATTGCCCATTATAGGGTGCAAATTTTATTCTCTTCTTTGATTTTTTTTTTTTTTTTTCGATAATTTACACTTAGAAACATCAGTTGTAGCAAATATTTTCTTTTCGCATTTCTTTTAAAACTTTTAAATCCTTACTGATTTTTTAACATTTCTATATTTGCAAACTACTTTTACATTTGAGTACTTTATCATTTTTAGTTAATTTAACAAAATTTTTTAAACTATCACAGATTATTTTGCATTTTTTTCATAAAAATTTTGGGAATCACTGGATTTTGGGCTAACTTTACATGTTTGGGGACCACTGTTTTAGTTATTTCTGTATTGTTTTGTTTTGCACTTTTACTTTTGTTTATGATTTGTTTGGAGTAATATATTATGAGGAGAATTATGGATTTGTTTTCATTGCAAGAGAACTATTGATTTGGAGTATTTGAGCATAATGTTGAGCACGATGATTTATGGTGGTGGTTTTTATAAAATGATGTTGTTGTTGTTTTAAGATGTTTTAGAGATGCATGATGAGAATGTTGATTATGAGATGTTGGAAAAAAGAGCAAACCTGTCTACTGCGCAATCGCCGGCAGATATCTGTCTGGTGAGTCACCAAAAAGGAATCCCCTGGAAGAGGATTCCCTCGTCAGGCTTGGGATTTGTGTTCTGAGTGTTTATGGGATTTTCTTGCAAATTGAGCTTGATTAGAAAATAACAATGAATATTAGGTGGAAATTTTGCTTTATTGATTTTTCAATGGATTTCAGATTACCTTGCAAATATTCATGAATGGTAAAGAAATTTTTACCAGTTGATGGGTTCAAATTCCAAATCTAGGTGTCAAGGTAAGATAACGATAGGCTAGAAACCTTTTCCTATTGTATGGGAAACTATTATATGAAAATTATCACAAAAATTTCATAAAATTTACCTGATGGTGTGTAATTGGTGAATATTCAGTGGATAATGTTAATAAATCTTTCTCATTTATTAAATGATTCTTGGAAAATTTACAGATTTTGTCTGAGAAGATTAAATTTTCGATGTTGACACTCCAAAAGATCACAGGAAAAGGATCTTTTGTAAGTTTTCTTCTATACAAGAAACTTTTGGTTAAGAATTTTTTAGTCAATTTTGACATTAAACGTCAATAAATTGTCAAAGATTTGTATATTGCCACTTAATCAAAGACTACAATCAATCAGAATGACCGTTTCTTCAGTCTTCATGCAGACTGATGGTAATACGGTACACAATAAAATGTAAATATATTATGTTCAAAATTGATTTTATTTATTTATTACACACTCGGAATTACAAAGAATTGGATAAATTCTAAATTTTTCATGTTTAAGTATTTTTTTCCCCACTGTCTGAGTCATAAAAACATTGTTTTTCCATTATAAAGAATTTTACAATCCCTGGCCACATTTAGCTCAGACAAAACTCTTATACGTTTTCCTAGATTGTTCTCATGCATAAATCAAAACAAATGATATAAAACAAAACAATTGTTCAATTCACAATCGATGTTGTAGCGTTGTATGCGTTGTATGTCAGCAGCTGCTACAATAGTCATAACAATGTTGTTGGTATTTTCTATGCAAAAGCTCTATATAACTCCTACGACAATTTTTCATATGTTTTTCGAATGTTGTAAGAAAGTTTAGTGTTGCCAATTGTTTATTTCAACATATAAACAAAAAATTCAAACGATTTTAGCATAAAAAACGATAAAGTGGTAACACTGAAATCAAAAACAAACAGCTGTTTACCAAAACAAAAAAAAATAAAATTTTAATAAAAATAGTTTTTTATTAGTTTAAAATGTGGAATAACAAAAATAAAAGAATTGAAAATTCAAAGAAATTAATTTGGTTTATTTCGCAAGTTTAATTAATTTAATATTTTTTGATTTTTTTATACTTTCACATTGTTATGTATATTTGTTTTGATTATTTTTTTTTCCATTGAGAACATAAACTTATGACTTTCTGCAAAGATCTGTTCACAATCACTGTTACTACACTTTAGTAGGTACAATATACAACTTGATTGTGAATTGAACAAATAAGTAATAAAACATATGATCGTGAAGACAGATGAATAACTAAATGTTGTATAAATAAAAAAAAATGTAAAAATTGTGAAAATTATGCCAAAAAATATATAAATATGCAACAAATAAATAAATAATTAATAAGTTGATTGATTAAATAATTGATTAGTGTTAATGATCAATAAAATAAATAAATAACTTAATAAGTTTTATGTAAGAAAAAAAAAATAATTATAAGTTGGTGACCAAAGTTTCCAAAATTCAAACATTTGTGGATTATGGGGATAGGAGGTGATGTTTCTATACAAAAGTAAGTTTTTATGCCTTATATTATTAGAAAAAAGGTTTTGTTTGTTATACAGGACATAAACGTCCATTACAATATAAAAAAAATCACTGTCAAAAGTATTTGATGACAATTTTATGCAGATTTATTTTTCACTCATGCAAACAATGAAAACGAACGCGAATAAGATTTCTTTCAAGTTTCAATGAATACATTTTCTTATGGATGCACACGTTTTAGCAAAAGAAATGTAACAATAAAAAAAGGAAAAGATGTACAATACAATCAACTCGTTTAAAATGCAAATTTTATAAAGTTTTATAAATCAGAATCAACAAAGGAAGAATGAGTAGATTTTTTATTAAATATTAGCAGGAAAAATGTAAATTTATTTCTAAGTTGGGTTTAATTTAATTAAATTTAAAGATATATGTACAAATAAAATGTAATAATCGTAATTTAAAAAAATATTTAATTAAAAGAATATTTCATACATGCAGAATTGATTTAAAATTCCGTTTTCAAAGATCTTAACCCTTTCACGCACAAAACTAAACCGTTGGACTTTTTATGGATATGACTTCAGCACACATTTTTGATGAAAAATTAAAAAAGTGTTTTCGAAGGATATCGCAGGATATTATACTTTTAGCATGTAGTAACATCAAGTTCTAAAAAGTAACTTATTTTTCTTTGGAAATAAAAAAAAAATCTAGAAAAATTTTAAAGAAATCTTGGGACACCGGTGTCCCGTATACGTTAAAGAGTTAAATAAGGGAATTCGTTAAACGCGTCTGCAAAGAGAACATTTAGTTTAAAATTATCAGTTGTATCAAATGTATCAGTGTTTTGGAAGTAAAATCCCATACAATTTGTGACAAATTCCATGTAAAATCGGAACTGCACAGATTGCTCAGTTTGCGAGGCTTTTGAACGTTTATATGAAAACCCTTCATGTATTTAAACCCTCACCACTTTACAGGGGATGTTTGTAACCCACAAAAACACTCGTCCTATACCCACCTTAAAGTATACCAAACGGCTTAGAATCTGTCGATTAAGCTATGTCCGTCCGTCTGGCTGGCTGTCCATGTACACTTTGTGCGCAAGCCTATTGAAAATTGTTAAAATCGGCCGGTTTGAACAAAATCATTTTAAAATCCAAGTCTAGAGTAGACCGTGAGTCATTTAGCCAGTGCAATTGAGCTGACTTTAATTTTATTTTTGTATCCTTGACTTCAATATGCCGAGTCCATGTTAATCAGCGATCAAGATGTATACCAAAATATCTGACATGGCTCTTTTCTATAGGGGTTTACAGTTTTCTCATCATAGAGCAAATGATTTGTGAGTACATTTTGTTGTAATGACTTTTAATATTCAGTAGAGCCTCAAGTTGAAGACTCTTACTCCAGAATTCCATACGTATGGGGGGTGTCACGCCCATTATTGCAATTTCACCCATTTTTATACCCACCATCAAAAAAGGACATATCGAAATATTGGTCATATACCCACAAAAGTATGTCCGTCTGTCTGTTGAAAACACGATAGAGTCCGAACGGAAAAAGCTAGAGGGTTAAAACTTTACACGAATATTCCCTATAGATAAGGTTTGTTTGGTATTGAAAATGGACAATATTGGTTCACGTTTTCGCATATCAACCATACAAGTGACCTCCCGAAAAACAGATTTAACAGTCATAACTGTTTTTTTTTTAATAATGGTATAACAATGAAATTTAGCCTAAATATGTTTCATATGACCCGGAAGCTCTCTAGCAAGTTTTATTAATATCGGTCCATAATTGACCCTACCCCCCATATAAAGCCTCCTCAGAAAATGACGTTAACTTGAACATAAGTAAGTTTCTTATAAAGCCTCTTCAGAAAATGAATAGGCTAACGCCTATTACTGGCTTATTACAAGCATAACGGTGAAATTCGAGATAAGAAAATTTCTTACAAGCAAAAATCTCTCAAAAACTAATTTTTCGAGGATCAGTCCATAATTGACCCTACCCCTATACATATAAGGTCCATTTCAAATATCACCCTGATGTTTATAGGGGAACATTCCTTTTACAGTTTGATGGTGGGTATAGTCTGTGTAACATTTATGATTTCTGGCTCTAATGGTTTTCCTGATATACGAATTTTGTATATGGAAGGTCCCACGCCCCTATTGCATTTATTACTCAAACGTTTACATGTTGCCCAAGTTGTAATAGTTTCCCAGATTTAAAAACATTTGTATTAAATTCATTTGGAAGGGGCCACGCCCTCTATTTTTAGTCCGCCTATTTTGTCTTAAATATTCATAAAGATACTAAAGAGTCTCCGAAAAAATTTTTGTACTCTATAGGCCAATATCTTAACCTCCAGTTATCGTTTAACAGGTTGATGTAAACTGTCAATTTATCGTTAGGATAAAAGTTTATCAATATAAACTTTAAGGACTCTAGATTTTGCAGTTTCTGAGATATGAGACTTTAATACTAATTGTGTGTAGGCGTGGCACATAGTCTACTTGAAATTTTCAAATATAAAGAACTGTCACTGTCTAAATTTCAAGAAAATCGGTCCAGCTGTTTAGGCGTGTTAATAAATAGAGTCCCCCGTTATATATTTTTTGGTGGCGAAATTTTCTTAAAAATATAACTTACCATTATGTATTGTTAAATGAGACACAAATTATATTAATAACAAATTAGAGTGCTATATTCGGCTATGCCGAATCTTAAATACCCTCCACCAGCAAGCTACTTTTTATTGAAAACCATTTAACTATTTAATTTTTAGATAACTTGGCAAAATTTTTGTTTCCTTATTGAGGGTCCTAACATTTATGCATATGCCAAACTAATTTTAATTAGGTTGAGAAAAATGTATATTAATAGGCCAGTTTGAAAACATTTTAATATAATGATTTATCTGTACACAGAACATACTCATTTGGAATTTTATCCGGATATAATCATTTAATTACGAATTAAGTGGTATTAAGTGATTTTCAGAAGTATACCTTATACCGATCCGGAAGAAAAAATCGGTAGAATGATTTATATATACAAAATACATATTTATTCGGAATTTTATCCCGATAACTTTGATTGTTAATGTGCATTTGAGTAATTTTCGGAAATGGTCCTTATATGGGAGTTGTGACCAATTATCAACCGATAAGGAAAAAATTTCGTATAATGATTTATATGCCAAAAAAATTCAAGTCGAATTTTACTACAATAGATTTATTAATTAATGAAATATGTGCGTTTAGGTGATTTTCGGAAGTGAACTTTATATGTATAGGAGCTATGACCTTACACAAAACATATTTGTGTCAAATTTTATCAAGATATCTTTATTTGTTAATGAAATATGTGCGTTTAAGTGATTTTTTTGAAGGAGCTATTACCATATATGGAACAATCCGGGAAAAAAATTGGTAGAATGATTTATATGCTCACAAAACATATTCAAGTCGTACTTTATCCAAATAGCTTTATTATTCAAAGAAATATGTGCGTTTAAGTGATTTTCGTAAGTGGACCCTCTATGGGAGCCTATGCGGAAAAAATTTCGTAGAGTGATTCATATAAAGACTAATATGGGAGCTATGACCAATAATGAACCGACCCGGGGAAAAGTAGTAGAATGATTTATATGTACACAAAACATATTCAAGTCGAATTTGATCCTTATAGCTTTAGAAT